TTTTTTTTGGCCAAGACCAGATCTCTCTGAGCTGGTCCTGTTAGCGCTGAAGGTGGGAGTCTAAGGCACACGCTGACTCACCAAGGGACAGAGGCACCCACAGTTGCCCACAGCCCCTCTCACGCACATGTGGGTGGCTCGAGTGTAACAGCCCAGCCAGAGTTTGGTCAGCTGCCAGGAGGATTCAGGCCAGGTACCTCCTGTGATTGTCCTCAACGCCCAGCTGAAGTACCACCTCTAGGAGACCACTCCAGCTTCCCAGGCAGTCTCCCTGCTCCTGGCAAAGAAGAGTTCTCTGTTCTCTCCCCAGGCCCTTGATCATGAACCTCCATGTCTACACTCTGCATCCCACTTCTCTTGACTTCGAGCTCCGAAAGAGCAGGACTGGAAGCCACATTGTTATCTTTGTCCCCTAGCCCCTAGTGCACTGCGTGGCACTTGGCAGGGAAATGTCCTAGCGGCTGCCAGCAAATGTCCATGTGCTCCGGGAATGCTGACCTTGTTATCAGCCGGAGATGACCTCGCAAACATCCACCCCCAACCACACACTGACCTACACTCTCCCCTCCACCCTAGCCTTCCCAGCCACTTCCAATTTGCACCTTATATTCCCAGAGAAGAACATGAGGTGTGTGTAAAGAAAAACATTTAAAGCATCATGGCAGGGGCACCAAAAACTACTGGTGTGCCTGGTTCCAAACTCGTTCCTGGTCCAACATTATCTTTGTCCCTGCTCCTCATGGGGACAGGTGACAGAGTCATAGGTGCTTCTATCTTTAAGGACTGCTGTTATGAGGAAGTTCATACATTCGACTCTGAGCAGGCTGAGCTAGGTCTAGGAGGGATTCCTTGAAAAGAGATGGCAGGGTGGGAGTTCCTGCCTGTCCCAAGCCATTTAATCTAGTTATAGGACTGGAGGGAGGGGAGTTCCACTAACTGTGATTCCAATGTGCAGCCAGGTTTGGGAGCTCCCTCAGAGACAAGTTCAGGACTCTCTCCAGACAAAAAAAAAAAAGGAAAAATATGCCAGTCCATTTTTCCCTCTTTCCATCCCCTTGACCAAGGAAGGTCTCTGCTCCACCCTGCTGAACTGAAATACTCAGTTAAACAAGTCACACCCCATGTGCTCACACACAGACACAGAGGCCACCATGCACACTGACATGCCCACCAGCATACCTGCTGACATGGTCCAGCCAGGGATTGCATGCAACACACACACACACACATATGCACACATACACACACACACCAGTCTGACTGTCTCTGACCCCACGCAAGCCTGCTGCTCTCTCAGGCCTGTGTCTGCGCCTCTCCTAAACTCACAGGCCTCAGACTGAGTGGCCCAGAGCATGACCCTGCAGTCAGCTGCCTGGATTCAAATCCCGGCCCTCCCACTTACCAGCTGGTGACCCTGAGCTAAAACTTAGCTCCTCTGAGCCTCCATTTCCTTACCTTTTAAATGGGGGCTGCCCATTCACAGTGTTGTTGTGGGCAATACACATGCAAAATATGAAAGTGCTCAGAACAGTGACAGCTACTGTGATTGCCATTAGAATTATCGCTGTGATTGTTAGTCTCCTTCCAGCTTTGACGTTCCAGGCTTCTGTGGTTCTCTACACACTCGCAGACCCACTACTGACTTCACACAGGCGCACTGCCGTGTGCCCCACACGCATGTGCACACATGTGGACGCACTCACACACCATCGCACTCTTGAGCTAAGCTGACAGAGAAATGCACACACATGTTGTAGAATGCTAATCATCCTCTCCTCTGTGGGTAAACCAAGGTCTGCAGTCACCAAACACCCCCTCCAGACACACAAGCCATCGTTCACTGGGACGAGCCGTGCCTACCCATGTCACAACCAGAAACTGAGTCCAAGACTGACTGACAGTACAATAGGCCCATGCCTGCTCCCCCAAATCTCTCCTCACCCCCTTGGCCAGAGTTCCCCAATGTGAGGATGATTCCCAGGAGATGGATGGGAATCTGAAAGTGAGAAAAACCTCCCAGACAGTTCAGCTCCCTCATTCTGAGGCTCAATTGTCATACAGTCACCAAGAAGGGACTGGTAGAACCCAGGGCCAGACCCAGGCCGCCTGACTCTAATTCTGGGCTTTCTTTCCGCCCCACACCACTACTGTCTGGCTCCTTCCTAGACTGCTCTTCCTGTGGGGACAACCTATTGTGCATATGATCTCTGATGCCTCAGGCACCCTGCATAGAGTAGGTGCTCAGTAGGTATGGAATGAACAAGTGAATGAGTGAATAAGTGAATGAATGAGAGGGCAGTGCAGAAGCCCCAAACAGATCTTGTTCTTACTGCTTCCCCAGGGCAGTAGGAACAGGTCCTGGGGGACACTGTTCAGGTCAGCAACACAGGCGTGCTGGCCCACACCCTGCCCCAGCGCTGGCTAGGTCCTCTCTGGGTGAGGGCTCAATTTTCCAGAGTCCAGGGCAAGGCCAGAATGCACACTCCTCAGGATCTAAACTCAGAGGTCCTCTCTTCTAGACACATGGATGGAGCCTGAATAGAGCCCTGCCTGGAGCTGCCCTTCTCCAGGGCACCTGCATGCTCCCAGGTGCGACCTCCCAACTGAGCATGCAACAGACTGGCCCCGGCCCTGCACCTTCACATATCCTAGAGCCACCTGGTGCATGTCTCCAGTGTGGCCCGATATAGTGAACGCGGCACAGCCCCTGAGCCCTCTGGCATCCTCTCCTGGGCTCACCCAATCCCTCTCAGAGAACATGGGCCCCTTCAGTACCCAGGGTAAGAGCTGGCGCCACCTGCTGGATCAGACAGAGATTGGCCTCTTCCCTACACAGAGAAGCCAGGCCAGGCCAGTGGCCTTCTGCCTATTCTCACGCCCCATCCTTGCAGCAAGAAAGTAACCAAAATACCATGAGAAATGCTGCAGAGCCTCAGCCTGCCTGGCATTCATGATTCAGCCACCGCCTGGCACCCCACCCCTATCCTTCCAGCCTTGTCCCTCAGTCCTCCCATGCAAGAAAGTGCCACTGCCGCCTAACCAGGTCCTCCTAGGGCCCCAACATGCCCGCCCCTGTGCCCAGTCTAGGGTCCCTCCCGCCCTGGCTCTGTTGCTTCCCATCACTGTCTGTTCATCCTGGCTCTCAGGGTTCACCACCCACCCTCCTGCTGCCCTCACCCCCTTCAGCCACCCCTTCCCTGGTGTCCAGGACTCCTCTGCCCAGGTGCTCCTTCCACACTTTAGTCCCTCTTTCTCAGTCTTTCTCGAAAGTTCCTTTCCTCTCAGCGCCCTTCCACCCCCAGAGGTGAGTGTTCCCTGGCTCTGCCCTCACCCTTGGCTCTCCCCACCCCACACAGCTGTCTTGGGTGACATCACCCACTTCTGTGGCTTCCATGACTCCCAAATCCATGTCTCCAGCTGAAATCTCTCCTGAGCTCTGAGGCCTCCATGTGGACATCCCATAGTACCAGGAGGTCACTGTGTTCAAACCTGAGTCCATGTTCCCCTCGAACCACTCAGTGACGGCACCACCGTCCAGCCAGAATGCTGGGCATCAGCCAAGACCCCCTCCAGTCTGTCATAGCCCCAATGCCTCTGGCTCCATCCACCTTGCCCCACATCCAGAGCCCCCACCCTGATCCAAGCCACAGGGGACTCTCCTGCTGGTGCCTGCCATGTGGCCTTTCTGCTTAGAGTTCTGTGCCCCTCCAATCCACTTTCCACAGGGGTCATTCAAAAAGTGCCAATGTAATCATGTTGTACCCTTGTTTAAAAGACTTTGGTGGCTTATCAAGCTCTCAGATCAGGCCCCAGCCCCTTAGCTTAGCCCCAAGGCCTCCAGCACATGGCCCTAGGACCTGCCTGGAGGCCTCATCTGCAGCAACATGCACTCAGCACAGTGTTTTCTGATCGCCACCTCTGGGCCTTTGCATGTGCTGTCCTCTTGACCTGGGAGGCCTTTCTCCTGCTTTGTCACCTGGGTGACACTGCTCATAATGCCAGACTCAGCTCAGAACTTGGGGAGTACTTCCACTAGGAAGCCTCACTTGCCCTCCAAGCATAATTTCAGGCCCTGAAACCTGTCTGCCTTCATCACAACATGCAACTGTTGGTTGCTGGTCGGTAGCCCCGTGGAGCACATGAGGAGCACTCCAAGCTACCATACCAAGACTGGGTGTCCAGGGATGGGGTGTGGGGTTCAAACCCAACCTTACCTGTCTCTGAGGGCCGGTGGGATCTGACTCTCTCCGTCGAGGGCGGGGTCCCGAGTGCAGGGGCGAGTGTGAAGGGCTGCCTGGCGTGGGGGGCTGCGAAGTCTCTGACCGGCCATCAGCCTGACTCAGCTGGGGTGGTGGAAGCTGGGATGGCATCTGTCGCAGGTCCTCCTCAGCCAGTGTCTGCATGCTGCGTCCCCGGGGCCGGAGGGTGGGCTCAAGCCCTGGCCGCCGCCGCTCCTCACCCTCCTCAGGCAGCAGCCGCAGCTCCTCGGGCTCCTCGTCGGTGGTGCCAGACGTGCTGGGCTCGGCCCCCGGGGGGAAGTCCTTGAGCTCCGTCTCCTTGTCGATGATGACCCACTCCTTGCTGTCGAAGTCCTCCTCCTCGGCCAGCGGCACCGAGCGGAAGGCGTTGCTCAGGGCCTCCTGCTCCACGGAGGCCGACACGTCCATGCGGCCGCTGGCCTGCCGGTCGGCCTGGCCTGTGTCCACTGACAGCATCTGGGCCGGCTGCGAGGAGCAGGCCTGGCGCGAGGGTGAGCCGGGCAGATCCATCCGTGACCTGCAAAGCCACCCCAGGTGCGGCTCAGTGCCCGGCCTCTCTGGAGCCCCAAGGACCCCACGTAGGTGACAGGGTGGACCGTGACACCTGGACCCTCCTGACCATGGCACTCTCCCACCCTGGGAGAGGCCCCGTCGCCTCCTGGATTGTCACCCTCCACCCTCACTCCCTGTGAAGATCTCATTTATTCATTCATACATCCACTCAACATGTTTTTGAATGCTTACTGTATTCCAGGAATATAAACATACAGGAAATAAAGCCTGGTTCCTGTGCTCAAGAGTGCTCTCTCCTCCAGACCACCGCAGTGAAACTTCATCTTCCTAAAGCCAGCTTTCTGTTTGCCTGTCCAGTGCTCACACCCCATCAGGCCCTTGCTCCTGCTGCATCCAGGGCAAGTGCCCACCTGGCCCTTGAGTTTACAGATGGTTTTTCTAGCCTCTTCTACTCCCACCGTGCAGCCCTCCCTGGCTGGTTTCACCTCCAACAAACTCCAGTGGCTCCCAGCCCCGAGGACAAAGTCAAAATTCCTTAGTTTGGCACTCAGGGTCCTTGGCTGCCAGACTAAAGCCCGGTTCCCCATTCCCTTAGCCAGCCAGACCCATCTCAAATTCATACGCTTTCCCCAAATTGCCCACGAGCTCACAACTCTGTGCCTTTGCACGTGCCATTCCCTCCACAAGACCTGTCCTTCTACTCTTTGCTGTCCATCCCAGCTCAGATGTCACTTTCCATAGGGAGTCTTTCCATCCTTCACAGGGGTTAGTCTGCCCTCCTGGTGCTTCCTGTGTCCCCTCTCATCATAGAAAGGAGCACATGTGAGGTTACGTACCTGCCTCCCAAGGGGTTGTGAGCTCTGCCAGGCAGGGCCCATCTGACTGTTCACCTCTGGATCCTGCCTTGAGACATCTCCTTTGTTGTTAAATTAAACTGTGCTGTGACTCTCACATTACTTCCAGAGATTGTCAACCAGGGGTGTACTGGCCCCAGCGTGAGGATATTTCTGGATGTATGACAGTGTGTGGAGGACGGGCCACTACAAAAGAACTGTCCTTTCCCAAATGCCTGGGGAGCGCCCACTGAGAGCCGTGGAGGCTTGGATCTGGGGTGGGGTCTTCCTCACACTCAGCCTGGGGGCAGAGGGCTGTCTTTCATGCCCCCCCAGCCTGTGATGGGGAGGGGTGCAGATGGAAGCCACCTGTGGGGCTTTCTCAACATAAGGCCACCACTGCCCACGTAGGATCTGCCAACTAGGACTCTACACAATATTTTTATTGATTTGTTAATAAGGCTTAAAATAAAAACACCCCTGAGGGAGGCCACTCATGATCTGACATTTATACTCCCATGTAAATGGCTGATGCCGCTTCCTTTCCTGAGCGTTGTTTTGGTGGACGTACAGGAGAGAGGGCAGCGAAGGGGAGAGGGGCTGACGATCAGGGGCAAGGAGGGGCGTAGAAGCTGAGGGGGGAGGGGGAAACAATTCCCACCTGCTTCATACCCCCCTACTCCCCAGTACCCCAGAGCCCACCCAAACCCTTCTGCCCTGCCTATGAGATCCTGAAAACTCCCTTCCAGAAAAATCCCTCCTCGCCTCTCTCCTTTACCCACCATCACTGGAACAAGGGTTCACTCTGAGCCAAAGCAATTGGCTCTTCAGGACTGTCCTTGTTCAGAGCATTGCCCATCTCTCCCCTCCACTCACATCCTTTCCACACTGCCCCCCTCACGCTCCCTGTTCCCAGAACCCGCCCGGCTGCCCAGGGTGAAAATGCAGGCAACCCGCAGGAGTGTGAACGTGAGTGGGGGAGCTGTCAGCTCCCTGAAGATAGGATCCCCATCTCCCTCTGTCACCACAGAGACGGGGATAGTGCTCCTCTGTCTCGGGCATCGCCATGCCCCAAAGGAGCACTGTGCCCCATCCTGGAGGTGGGGTGTTGTTTCTGGGAGAAACCAGAGGAGGGGCCATGGCTGAGGTGAAGCATGAAGAACCGCACTGCTTGCGTGTGGAAAGGGCCTCTCCAGAGCTGGGCCTGGGGAAGCGATCCCCTTCCTGCTGCAAAGTGGCCTCAGCCCTGCTATGAGGTGAAGCCCTACCCAAAGCCAAGTGAGGGTAGGGACATCTCCTTTCCCTCTGAGGTTGTCCCACCCACCAGATCTGGCCCTGGTCCCTCCTGGTCATCAGCCACCCAAGGCTCATCTTAGCTCTAAACTCACCAACACTCCAGGCCCTGTCACTGACTCTTTCTGAGTCTGGCTAAAGACCCAAGTACAAGCCTTTCAGCACTCCCAGAGTCCCCCACCTCTGCCTGGAATTGACCTTTCCTCCAGACCAACCAGATGAGGGGGGAGGGAACCAGGGCCCCCCCACCACTACCACCCCCTGGTCCCAGACCCACCTCCTCTCATGGAGTTCCACCCGCCCATCCGCAGTGGAGAGCCTCTCTGACTCAGGGCTGTTGACCCTCCGGTAGCGTAGGGAACGGACTGGGGTTGTCGGTGAGTCTGGGGGTGCACGCACTGGAGAGCTGGGGACCCCTACACCTCGGTTCTGCTCCTCTTCAGCCACACAGGGGGTCTGCAGGAGAGGGGAGTTCCATGAGCTGGGGCTCACAAGGCGGCTGTGGGTTGGGTGGTTTTCTCAGGGTGAAGGAGACGAGGAAGTGGAGCACAAGGATGCGGGTGACCTGAGACGGGGCAAGGCCACAGAGGCGGGGCAAGCAGGCTTGCAGCTGGGGAGAGGGTGTCAGGAGGACCGGTGGGGGGGGGCGCAGGTTGGGAAGGCCACCCCTGTCCTTCTCCCTGGCTGCAGTTACTTTGCCGATGTTGATCCGGAGTTTGTTGCGGTTGACATCTGTCTCCTCCCAGACTTCAGCCTCAGGACCACCAGGATGGGGAATGAGGTGGGGTCCAGGTCCTAGCCCCTCAGGGGGCCGCCCGGGCAGGATTGGGGGTGCGTTCTCCTGGTCACTCAGGTGCTCTCCCTGCAGCACGTCCTCTGTGTTCTCTCGGAGCAGGTCTCCAGGCACTGGTGTCACGTTGACCACCCTGGAGAGGCCAGGAGGGGGCGATGGGCAAGGCTGGCATGGGTGCCCTCTCCTACCAGCACAGGCCCTGGAGATCACTGCCACAGATGGGTGTGGGCACAGGTGAGGCCCCAGCAGGAGTGGGGGTGTCCTTTGGCCCATAACCAACCCGGCTCACAAAACCTCTGAGACTAGGCCATCCTCGGGTTGGCAGAGGGTTGTAAGAAGATGTGGCTGCTGGGTTGGGCACACCACCACCTAGCCCTGTTTAAGGGATTGCCACTGCATTTCACTGCCTGGCTTCCTTTAGACCAGGAGTGGGGCTAAAGACAAGGATCGCTCTGAAGTTCCCAGAGCGATGTCTTTACAGACTGAGCACCATAATGTGCTGACAAGTCCTGTTGAGCCTCCTTCCCAAAGGTCCCTGGAGGACCTGCCCACGTCTCTCCCTGGCTCGCTCCTGGAGTTGGGTGGAGAGCCTCTTCTCACACTGGCCACCTTTGTCTTTGTGCTTGTCACATTGCTCTGAAACTGCTGACCCATCAATTACAAATACCATAGACACAATTGAGAGCACTCAGAGGCAGGGGCTGCACGTTCTTCCTGTGCTCCCACCGGGTCAAGCGGTGTGGGCTCAAGACATGTTCCCTAAATGAGCGCATGTGAGAAATAACAAACGGTGGGGCTCAGGCAGTTTCACTCAGGGCTTCCTGATCCCCACCGAGGTCAATAGCTTCAAATGAGGATCCCACTCCTGCCCAGATTGAGGGCGCAGGTGTCGCAGAACTTCCTGGGGTTCTAGAACCCTACTGTTCAGCACCAAGAATAGGAGAGACAAACCAGGTGTGTCCAGGTAGGAGAGGAGAGAACTGGCTTCTGGGATGACAGCTCCAGGCAGCGGTCATGTGGTCCCCCACCCAGCCATCGCCCCTCCTGAGACTCACCCAAACATGGCTGCGGTCTGCCGGGTGTTCTGCTGGGGCGGGGTAGAGGTGCTCGTGGACAGGAGGGCATCGGTGCCGGCCTTCTCCCAGTCAAAGGCCTCATTCTCGGCAATGCCCCGCTCCTTCATGCTGTTCTCAAACACCGACATGATCAACTGCAGGGGGTGGGGTGGGGGTTTGGGGGAGGACAGAGAGGTGACCCTGGGGCTAGCCAGGAGGAGGTGACAGTTTCTGGGATTGCAGGGGAAAGAAAGGGGCCTTCCAGGGTGGGCCAAGAAGAGGCATCGGAAGGAGAAGGGCACATTGATTTTAAATGAAAACATGCACACAATATGCAAATCGGCATGCAAATTATCATCTTGGTTTAAGCCCCACTGGCTGGATAGAAGCCCCCTGAAATCTGTTCCCTGATCACTGGCTGCAGACTCCTTTGCTATTTCCATTATCTCAGCAGAAGCAACAGCAGCCCAGAACCACTGGTAGTTTCCCAAACCCACCACCTGGGGTCAGGGGTGTGCAGTCAGCTCCCTCTGCCTGCAATGCCTTTCCCACCCACCTCTCTTCCCTGAAGCCTTCCCTGATTCCCCCGCCTCTCAGCTCCCTTGGTTGGGCACAGTGCATGGGCTAGAACTGTTTGCACGCCTACTTGCCGACTCTACATCTCTAGCAGCCAGCACAGGGCCCAGCACAGGGTGTGCTCTCAGCTGCTTGGTCTGGGGGACCCCACGAGGCTGAGCAAGGGGGGTTAGGGTGTGTATGGCTTCCTATTCCCCAAGTGAGGCATCTCTGTCAGCAACCAGGGCTCTGTGCTCAGTTGTATACCCTCTTAGGCCCCCAGACCATTCCGCTCTGACTTCGCTCTCTCCAGAATGCAGGGCAAGTTCTCTCTGCTGACAAGACCCACTTCATTGAGTGCCCACTGTATGCCCGACACTGTGCTCCCCATGGTGGCACACAGTGGAACCTGGGCAAACATTGCTGACATTTTCCCCACTCTCTGATCAGGGTCATGGATCCCATAGGAGTTTGGGGATGGCGCCTTGGAAAGAACACTGGACTTGGAGTCAGAAGATGTGCCTGAGCCCAGGCCTGCTCCTAACCAGGCTATCAGGCCTCAGTTTTCTCATCTATGACATGGAGACAATCATCCCACTTGGACTCCTGCAGTTTTGGAGTAAAGTAATTGAAAGCACTTGGCTTAATTAATTGTTGAATGCCAAAATAATAACATAAGGAACACACGATTATCACCAAAGGCTTGTTTTGAAGCTTAAATGAATGAAGGCATGGAAGGCACTGAAAACAAGGTAAGCTCTTGATAAATCTTAGCTATGCCTACTGTTCGTAAGAGCGCAAAAGAGTTTCGTGCAGTTGGAGGACCAGGGGGAGATGGTCAGGGCCAAGTCGGCAGGGGCGTGGGGCCTCGGCAGGAGGGTGCTGCTGGCAGCGGTCGCCCACAGAGAGGTGTCCGGGGTGCAGGCGGCGGCAGGCTCCCACCTGGTAATCAGGCTTGGTGAAGTAGTCAAGGCTGGCGATGTGGTCCAGGAAAAGGTGGAACTCAGAGGGCATGTGCTTCAGCAGCATCCGGTGCTCATACTTCTCCTTAATCATCCCTACCTGCTCCTGGAGGCGAGAGACACAGGCAGATGGGGCCCCCTGCCCGTCCACACCCACCGCAGGTCCAGCTGCACTGGGCTCACCTTGTCTTTGATCTTCCTCCAGGGCAGCTGCCCCACTGCAAACTCCACCAACATGTAGAAGAGGGACCACAGGTCATCGTGGCGCCCCATCTCCTAGGGGTGGGGAACGGGGGGGGGGGGGACCCACAGCTCTCAGGTCCTCCCCTGGGAGCAGGGCACTGACCCTTTGCTGAGTCAAGGAGGCTTGACACCCAGGCTTCTATGGGCAGAACTGGGGTCTCCCCGAAGTCATGGCTCCCTCCCTGACCAGCACACATAGAGTCCCAGTCAAAACTTCTGTTTGTGCATTCTCACCCCACGGAGATTTGTACTGGGAACAGAGAGGAGAGGAGCCCCACAAACACGGAAGAAGAGGAAGTCAAGGGCAGAGCCTTCTCCCAGTAGGGTCTCTGGAGTGGCAGCTTCCAGCCCCTGCCCCAGACTTTTCTCCCACCTCCAGAGCTGCCCTCCCCACCCTCTCCCTCAGCGGCACACGCCACCCCTGTCCTGTTACTGCCCTTAGGCCCCTCAGTCCTGGCTCTGCCACTCACCCGGTTCTTGTGGGCATTGACCGAGGCATATCGAACAGTCCCTCGAAACCCGGCCACATTCCGAGGCTGCAGAGGAGAGAACACCACCAGGAACCTCACCTGCTGCCCCTGACCTTGGCCCTGCTCAACCCTGCTTACCAAGCCTACCTCTGCCTGCTTAACCCTGACCGCCTCCCCAAGGCACCCCCTCACCCCCGCCACCTTGGCCCGGTCAGGAACAAACCTGACACCCATCCTCAGTCCTAAGCCTGCCGCCTGCCCCTGTGTCTGTCCTTGGCCAGAGTGGGCAGACAGACCACAGAGTGTGGGTGTGGCTGCCATCAAGAGCCCAGGCTAGAGAGAGGGGATGGCGAGTGTGGGCACAGAGTTGGGTGCTGCTGATACTGAACACAAGCCAGGCCTATTCAGGCAGCTGCAGGGAAACCTGGCGAAGGGATCCCCGGAGGCCAGGATTCCTGCGCGCAGTGGTACTCACGGGCCGGACGTCCCCCGTGGTGTTGGTGTACTGCCGGGCCAGCCCGAAGTCCAGCATGTAGCACTTCCTGTAAGTGGATGGCAGCCTGCCCATGGCAAAGTTTGACTGCAGGGAGACAGCAGCTGTGAGCTCACCTCAAGGGGAGCCAAGAAACCGGGGAGGGACCCTCAGCCCATCTACACTCACGAAAGAGTAAAACCCCTGACCTGTTACTGTACCCATTGGAGGGGCAGGTGGGATTATCTTCATTTTAGAGATGAGGAAAGCTGAAGGTCAAAGAGCCTAGGGGGCTTATCCAAGGTCACACAGCAACTGATGACCCAGCTGACAGTTGAAACAAGGTCTGTCTGGCTCTGAATCCTTGGGACTCCTCAGCAGGCTTAGTCTAACTAAGGCAGCAGGACCTACATTGTTCTTGCTATATGACCTTGGGCCATTCAACCAACCCTTCTGGGCCCCAGTTTTCACCTCTTAAGATTGGTGGTTTTTTTTCAGAACCAAGATCCAAGATGTCACAAAATTAGCTATTTGGGATTCCTTGCAAAGCCCCAGCCCCTGGTCCCCTTCTCTCAATCTCCCCCATCCATCCTTCCTCAACCCCTTCACCTCTCTATGTTCAAGGACTATTCAGGTCAGGGATGAGGGAAAGGAAAAGAAGAGAAGCACAGGAGGGGGCATGGGCATGGGCATGGGCATGGCCAAGGGGCGGGCAGGGGTGTGTACTCCTGCGAGGCAGGTGAGGGGCAGTGATGGGGCCTGGGATGGAGAAGAAACTATTCTAGAGAAGAATCCAGGACCAGAGAGGGAGAGGAGGGGGCATGCTTTAGAGGGGGTGGGGTGGCCCTCACCGGCTTGATGTCACGGTGCAGGAAGCCCACGGAGTGGATGGCCTCGATGGACTCCAGGATCTGCTTGCCCAGCCGCAGCGTGGTGCTCAGCGTGAAGGTGCCTCGCGGCTGGCTGCGGCGCAGGTCAGCCAGGTTCCGTCCCTGGGGGTGGGGGCGTAACCCTGCTCATCGACCGTCCTACCCACCACCACTGAGGCTTGTGCCCACTCCCCACTCCTCTGGGGGGCCACCAGGGTTGCAGCCCAAGTCCTTGGGTGAGACGGACGGAGGATGGACCACGGGGACTCACCTGGAGCTGCATCACCACGTAGTTGAACTTCTCATTCCGGCCACAGCCAATGAACCGGCACACGTGGTCTTTCCCTGAGGGGCACAGACAGGCGTCTCCCAACTCCTACCCCTTCTCCTCACTTCCAAACCTTAGGTGGGCTCCTGGCGCGCTCTGGATTCCCGGGCCCCCAGCCCGGGCCCCACGACCACTTTGCCTACCACCACCCCCTGCCCTTAAGCCCCGTCATTGCTCTTAGACTCTGGTCCATCTCACCTTGTCCATCAGCTCCCCCTTAGCCCCTTCCCTCCGCCCCTCTACACCTCCTCCCAGCTTCTTATCCCATCCCCTCTCCTAGCCCCTGGCTCCATCGCCTCTTCCCTCCCATCCTCCTGCCCTAGGCCCGCACCTTGCAGCTTTTTGAGCACAGCCACCTCCATCTTGAGGACCTGCTTGGGCTGCTGGGCGGACTCCACCTTGAGGGCCACATTCTCCCTGGTCAGCAGGTCCATGGCCTCGTAGATCTCACCAAAGCCCCCGCCTCCAATCTTTTTCAGCTAGAGACAGGTTGGGGTGGGGGGGATAGGTGACAGAGGGATCAGCCTGAGCAGCTCTTCATCCCATCCACTGCTGGGTCATATCCTTTGTTGATGTGGGCAGGGGCCACCCTTGGAGGGGAGGACCTCACGTCTCCCTTCCTTGCCCCATCCACCAGGGCCCCCACCTCCTTTCCTAGTGCTGGAGACAGACAGCTCAGCCCACAGGTAGACAAACACACACACACACACACACACACACACACACACACACACACGGGGCCAGGCGTCAGAGTGGGCAGTGGGGAAGAGTATGACATGTGTGCCTTCATATAGACATGGAGACAAGGTTATGTGGGATTCTGAAGAGATAATGGGCTGTCGTGAATCTTTTCTTCTCTGGAAGGACAATAAATATCATGCTCCCCTCAATCCCCTGCATAGACTGAGCAATCTCCAGAAGGAAAACCAGTTTCCAGAACCTCCCAGCTTCAGGGCGGATCCTCCAGGAAGGGGTTGGCAGAATCCTAAAAGGTGCCACCAGAGTATTGGTAGGGGGAGTATTTGGGGGAGGAGACTCAGGAAAGAGTGCTCACTGCCCATACCTGCTACTAAGGCTCACATCACTTCCTAGGCCTCTGTTCAGGTGCCCAAAACCAAGGTGAGCCCCCTCTTTGGGGCAGGGGACACTGTGGGAGCACGTGGGGATGGTTTAGCAAGAATCTGTTTATTCCTGGGGCAGTGCAGTGGACATCTAACCCTCTAGGTGCTCCTCCTCCAGCATCCCAGGGCAGGGATGTCATCTCAGCTCATCCCCAAAGGTTCCCAGCAACACAGGTGAGGAAGGTGGCAGGACTCACCACTTGCACAGAGTTAAGTACCTGGCCCCAGGTCACAGAGCTAGTACGTAGCAAAGCCAGGAGTCATTTAAACCCAGGCAATCTGACGTAGAACCCACACTTTAAAGCACAATGCTATAGGGACAGTAGATCACACTGGGATTAAAACTGTCAGGACTGAAATTCAAGCTCAGATCTACTAGGCTTCAAAATCCTTGCTGGGGATGGTAAGGAGGGTCCGGGACATCCAAGACATTTCTCACACCTACTCCCCAACTTCCTAGGGTGCCCAAGGGTATTTCTCCACCACCTTCACTTCCAAACAGAGCCTGTTTTTCCTTCCTTAGTCCCATTCTTACCCCACCCCCACCCTTTACAGGACCTCCCTGGGATGGGAAGCCAGGCATCTGCACCCACCACTCACCCAACACCCCTCTTCCCTGGGCACTTATTCATGGGCCACAGCAAGCACAGAGACTAGGCTCATAATACTTTTAGGAGGCAATGAAAATGTGTTAGTTTCTTTTAAAATCAGAAGGAGAAAAAACTTTTAGGTCAAAAAGAAAATTTTAATATGTAATATTAATTTATTCCTTTTTATACCAATGCAGTCATAAAATACAATTTTTAGTAATTTAGTAATTATTGAGGAAGGGGCCCAAGGAGGAGAAGTGCCCAGGACCCATGAAAGCCATAATGCAGCCCTGCCCTCAGCCCAGTAACAGGAATATTCTCTCAAACCCCCTTCACTGGACCCTATTCATGATCCCCTTCCCTGCTGAAGAACCTCCCTAAACTGGAGGAGAAATATGACATAATAGAACCCGCATTCACTTAGGAAAAAGGAAGCCTGGTTTCTTGGCCCAGCTCTGGTTGATGTGTGGTGAGTTTCGTAAATTTTCTTAGGCTCCACTTTTCCTCCTCTGTAAAATGAGAGAGTTGGACTGGAATTGGTCACAGACTCCATCAGTTCTATGGTCCTGATTCTTGGATGGGCTAATTCTTGGAAAGCATGACTGTTGACCCAGCATGGCTGGGTTCAGACAGGCCTGTTTCTACCTACCAGCCAAGGTAACTTGGCAAGTTAACTAATCTCTGTGCCTCTATTCTCAGACCTGTGAAATGGGGCTAACAGTGTCCACATTTTTTCACAGCGTCTGGCAATAGTAAGTGCTCAAAACAAATACTAAGTTTTTGTTACTATTATTGTTTGCTATTCTAATTCTGAGAAGCCTGCCTCAAGAAGAAGAAAATGTTACAATTTTTAAATACTCCACCTAGTGTCACTGATCCTCATTTTCTCCTGGCTACAGACCATCCCTGGGCAACTTGTTCTTGTTTCCTGAGCTCTGCCTCATGCCTCTGTCCCATCCTTCACAGTAGGTCCTGTTCACAGGGAGATGCGCTGATGGGAAGCATCTGGTACCCCGCCATCTCTAGCTGTCCAGGGGGCAGGGAGTAAGTGAGAGTAGACAGGTAAGCTGGCAGATTGTATGCATGCCTCCCTTCCCCAACTCCCACTTACCATGTCTCTTGCCACTCATCTCCCAGTTCCTCCCTCAAGAAGCACAAAAAAGCTCTAACCCAAACTCACCAACACCATCTTTTTCTCACCTCTTCAGTGCAAATGTCCTGCCTCCAATCTGCCAGCACAAGAAGCTCTTGTAACACTCCTCACCTTACCAGACCTTCATTCTTTTGATTACTGGCTGGCTCCTCCTCCCCCAACCTCTGTCTTGTTACTCTCCCTCTCAGGAGGTCCCCCTGCAGAAACAGACAGCCCCTACCCTCAGCTCTCTAGCTCCTCCAGTGCCCCCCTTCCAAGACATCTCTGACAAGGCTGCCACCTTTGCCCCTATCCCTGGGCCTCTAAGGGACCTGCCCAGTGGGGTGGTTGTTGCCATGGAGACTCACCTGCACGCAGGCCCCACTCTCCTCTCAATCCCTAAGGGAGCTGAGCCTCTCCCCCAACACACACACACACACACACACACACACACTATAGACCTGACCTGTGCCGTTCTCCCTCTCTTCCTCTTGGCTCCCTATCCAGGTGCAGACCCACAGCTCACACACTATCACCCCGCAATCCACTCCACATGAGCCTGCCCCCACAATCAAAAGAGGCAGGCAGGCAGGAAGCTCTTATGGGACGGGAAAAAAGGGGGGTGGGGGTGGGACAGGGATTGATTTACAGTAGGTCCTGTTCCCCAGGCACAGACTTTTCCCTAACCTTCAAGTGTCCCCCTCCTCTCCAGACCCAAACCCCCCAGGAGGCTCGGACTACAACTCCCAGCAGGCCGAGCAGCCTGAAGTCCTGGGCTGGAGGAGCAAGGCACGCTGGGAGATGGAGTCTCGGCGTGTTGCACCTGCCGCAGGAACCAGTGAGGGGAGGAGGGTGGATGGAGAAGATGGAGCGCAGATGCCGTGGGAGCAGCCTGCGGGGCCTCTTCCCGGAACCCAAGCCTTTCCGTCCTCTGCGGAAGCGGAGGGGCACCTGCTCACTCGCCGCCCTTCCCCAAGGTCCGGCGGAGAAAGAGCCCCCTCCCCCACCCTCCCTCCTCCCCCACGGAGCTCTGCAGCTCCAGCTCCGGCCTCCAACCAGGAGTCGTTCCCGCCTGGGACCGACAGCGTGACCTAGCGGGGCAAGGGTGAGAGAGGGCGGGGCTGAGGAGAGGGCCCTGGGAGAAAGCGACTGTCCACAAGTGTAGGCAAAAATAACGACCTGCCAGCAGTGTGCAAATGAGCTCAGGAGCACCTCCCTCTTAGGACAGGTGCGCTAAAGGCACCTGTTTTTACGGGTCTCCAGACC